CAAGTGTAAACTGATGGGAATGCCATTGACGTGAATGGCGACAGTTGGATTCTTTGAATTTCCTTCCTGCAGCTGGTACAAGTACACATCTTCTAAAAACCCCTCTTCTTGAGACCCACGGTGTGTGTTGGTCTGCTGCTCAGACTCCACTGCGTTGGCTTGCTTGTCTTTCCTGTCGTTGGCTGCACCCTTGCACATGCGGGCAAGTGATTTGGACGCCCACACTTGAGACATCTCCTCCCAGTAGCTGGGCATGTATCCTTGTTGGCATGTGCCTCTTTACCGCACTTGGAGCAAGGTGGTCTGGCCTTTGCCTGCGAATGGTCAGCGGTACGCCTCGGCCCTTTATTTCTCATGCTGAACCGTCCCGTTTTAACATTTTAGTGGGGAAACTGAGAACTGAAATGTACTGGCCCACTGGACAACTGGATTTCAAGGTTTTTTTTCCCTGCCCTGCCCTGACAATTTAGTGCTCTGAAAAAAAGTTGTCAACTTTTCCTCCTCAAATTTACTTACATATATAAAAGAGACAAAAGTTTCAATGCAATAAGAGCCCATTGGGCACTTTTCCCCTTATCATTCAGTACTGTCACTTTTTATTTCTTGGACTAATCTAAAACATTTATATGGCCTTTCAATGGCTTCTCGCACTCTCGACATGTGCGGGTCCTCTTTTCTTTGTTCTGCCGGGCATTTCTTTCTGGTACCTGCATAACTAATAACAATACATTATATTAGTTACAATAAATCAGAACGACATCTGATTAAACTGAACATGTTAAATTAACAGTGTAGTGCTTTAAGTTAAATACTGTAAGGAAGTACCTGGTGTGGTTAGAGGGACATCTTTTACCACCATTTGACTTCTTTGCTCTTTCCTTTTCAAAGCTTCATCTCGTGACTGCTTCTCCAGCATGGTGTTCATTGGTTCAGGGGTCTTTTCACTGAACTTAGCTGCAGCATTTACCAGCTCCTCCTTGCTTGCATCCAGAAATGTTTTAAATATTTCTTCCACATAATCTGAGAGAACAAAACTGATACAAAATTTAGCAGCAATTTGTTATTCCACTTTCAACAGTAATATTTCGATTTCTCTTTCTAATAAATAACTGGTGAGTCACCATGTATGTACACAAATTAAAATTTTATTACTTATGCTTTGATGGTTCACTCTCCAGGGATGTTCACCAAAGTTTTGTGTAACTTTCACATTTTGAACAGTCTCTTCCCCATTTTTAAACTTTGGATAGGAGACCTTCACTCTTTCCACCCCATCTGCCTCTCTATGTTTTACATTGAGATTGAAGATGAAATGTACTGCAGCCAACGCATGCCTACAGGTAGAAATTTAAATGAAAAAGTTGAAAACATTAAACTTTTTGGTAAACTCTGTGTTTA